TGCATTACCGTTGCGAGGATATAAAGAGACGACCGGGTGAACTACTACGACTGAAATACCATTAAATATTCGCAATAATGCACGCAAACGCGCAGGAAAATACTCGCACACTTTGTTAAAAAAAACAAGTCCAGTATGCCGCTTTTTTTGTTTCCATCGCCTTCTCCGTATTACATGCCGTAGTTATTAAAACTTTTGCTTCATCTGCTTTGGATCAGGGATTCATTACGCGAAATATGTATATCTCTAAGATATATCTCGACTGCACTTGATTATATTGCGCTGTTGTTATCACATTGATTCTCGATCGCAATAAGAAGATCGAGCTGATATTGCCGCGCTCGCGATTGTCCCGCTTGAAAATGATTCGGAATTGGTGCGGAAAGAGATTAACGAACCTCGTGCGGTTCATCGAGCTCTCTGCTTGCTCGTGGCAGAGTGCGTCTCGCGTGTAAAAGTCGGTCACAGGGTGCTGAGGGGCGAAAAGACTTTGCAATTCCGATGATCGCGCGGCCGTTCGCAGTCACAAGTGGCAGGCTTAATTTGGCCGGGACGCGCGGATATTCCGTCGCGCTTTCGGATCCGCCGGAAACGGAAACGCCGGAATCAAGCCGGAATTATACCGGATGGCCCACGCGTCTGGTTCGCGTAAAATATCGCGAGGCTCGGCGTCGCCGGGGCCGCACTCGCGCGCACGCGTCCGCTTTCGTAAATCGCGCCGATCGTATTTAACGAAAATGGCTTCATTCGCGTCGATTGCACCATTTAATACGCTTCCGCGTGGCCATACTCGCGGAAGAGTTTTGCTCTCGAATGATATTTGCAAGGATTATCTTTTCATTCGGTTAAATCCATGTAATTTTATTGCAATCAAAGCTGCTCAGCAGAACTGGAAAAAACGACGTTATCTTTTAATATGAGATCAATATGAGATCGATATGGACGCGCAGTGAGATATTTTTCGGCCCCTCCCTCCGATATTTTAATAAAAGCCTTTAACTAAGTTTTTGAGTCGGCAAAAAAGAGTAAAAAACTATTCGATTTCGACGAAACTTTAATTAAAATCGTAATTGATACTTGCTGAGAATTAATAACTAGTAATCTATAAACGATATCAGCGTAAATCAGATTTTTCCACGTAAATATGCCAGACCAAACTAGCGATTATCGGCGTAATTGGACACTCCGCGCAGTTCCGTTCTTGTTCTCCGGATATTCTCAACGAATCTCTTGCAAATGAGAAACTTTGACCTAAACTTTATTCACTCTGGTGTGACACTTTGGACAGTGATACGTGTGCAATATTTAACCCTTTGGAGCACAGTGGTTTCACCGTGACATCATCTATTAGAACCAAATCATAGCTTCTCAGACATAGTGGTCTCGCAACGAAACCATCGCTCAGTCTATGATGCACTCTATTGGTTTTTTGTGTTACTCGTAGTATTTGCTTCAGTATGCGCACGGTTTTGGTGATAATAGGAAAAAGTAGAAAAAATAATTTCAAAAGAAAAATGATCTTTTGGGTGATCTCATCCTAGACACGAATATTTTATTAAAATCCGAATTTTGGAGGTCCTGTGCTTCAAAAAGTTAACGTGACAAGCAAGCATTCAAAGAATTACACGGATCTTGAAAATAATCGATGCGATTGTCGAAGGAAACATGGCTTTTAATTGGCGCGCTTGCAGAAGCGGTTAATCTCGAAAGTTAGACGTCACGGCGGCACCTAATTTTATCGTCATTTAGGCATCTTCAACTGCGGAATATTAAGATTAATCTTTATGCGGACTGGGTGTCGAATTATCGCAATTTACCCCCGGAGCCCCGGCATTAAAAGCTGGCAGTATTCAAATTCACATTTCTCTTCGTTATGCTGCTCTCGATGCGATGGATCCCTGACTTCCTTTACTCGCAACACAGGGAAGACGAGTTGTTAAAACTTTGTTATAAATTTCCAAGTTGAGGCGAAAGCGGCAAGACGATGAGATGATGGCGTCGAACAAAAAGAACAGCAACCGCCTTTCATCAGGGAGGAGTTCTAATACTTGCTAATTATTAGGAAGGAAATAAAACTTATTCCTCTGATTTATTACTCGCGCAATTCGTGTACACACGCCATCCATTCCCTTCGAAACGAACAAAAAGATGCGACCTATGAAATAAGATTGCGGACAAGTTGGAATGTTATCTGGATCGCTAGTGACGGCTCGTTGAAAGTTGCGAAACGAGAGGAAGCGGATAAGAGGTGATTCTCGGTGCAACATGCGATTGCGTGCAGTTTTCCTGAGCATTTACACGAGAGAGTCTCTTTCGTGTACTCTAAAATATAACGAATCTGTATATCGCGTAATATGATTGTATCTCTCTTCAGTACACAGTACTCGATATATCTTGTGGAAACAGCGTTTTTCGCGCGGCAATCGCGTGCTAACTCCCGCTTTCCTTTTTTTCAGTCGGTCTATTTATTAAAAGTTCGTTAAGCCGCTTTTCTCTCTAAAATTTAAAAGTATTAATAATAAATGCTTCCGTAGCCTCCCGATACAAAATGGCTTCGACTTTATTTACTGGTTTCATAAAATATACTGCCGCCATCATATTGGCTCCTACCGCTCGCGGAAATGAGCGCCTTTATGAAAGTATAAAAATCCATCGTCCCAATTGATGTTAGAAAGAGAGAGAGAGAGAGAAAGAGAGAGAGAGGGAGGGGGAGAGAGGAGCGAGCAGACGAAGCAATTTCGTGCTGCGTGGCGCATACCTTTTTTCAAAGAAGATTGCCAGGACGTTGAGTGTTTCGTTAAATTAGCTTTCTTTACGAATAATTAGTCGTAAGAAGCGGCGCTACCGAGCATAAAAAGAAAAAGAAAGAAAGAACCGGCCGACGTCTTGAGAGAAGGAGAGAAAGAGTTAAATGTCGGTACATGGGTAGCACGCGAAGCGTGGAGGTAACGTAAGGAGAACGAGAATCGTAAGTATTGCGTCCCTCAAAAGAAGTCCGCGGAAACTTAGAACCGCCGTCATGTCGGTCTACATTTTTCAGGGTGCCTTTCAAACGAAAATTAAGCAGGAAAAAGCTTTCTCAACTTCCCCCGGGGTCTTATTTCTGGTAAACGCGGAAATTCGCGTCTTTTTGCCGTCAGGAGACTTATCCGGGGCTCTACACGCTGAATGAAAAATGCTTCGGAACGCGGCGCCGCCGCCCCGCGAGCTTAAATTGTTTACAGGGCCATCCGAGATTTCCTGCGAGAACGTTGCAGAATCTTATCGACCGAGAAGCGCCGACCGCTCGCTTCGACGTGTCCCGGTGATCCGCGTGATATTATATGCGAGAACGATAAGATTGTCGCGCCGAAGATGGATGAAAATAGAATTTTTATCCGTTCCCGCGCGAATATGTTCGTGCTGCTTTTACCGCATTTGACGTTCGAATTTACGCGACCGCCACCTACATTTACTGTTGATATTTGTGCTCTCCCCTTGCGTCTGCGAACACACATCCCAGCCGTTCTTATATTGTGCGATCTCGCGTGGCGCCGTGTGTTCCCTTCTCATTTATGAGGACTTTGTGTGTAACATGTGCACTGTATTAAACACGGCCGACTCCACGTATTCGGGCGAACTCATTCCGCGCGTAAGTCTCGCGCGAATAAAATGTTATTTATTTACTTGGTCCACTCACACAACACAATGCCGAACGTTTCGTGTGTGCCTCGCGGGCAATATGAAATTTACGCGAAATTACAAGAATGTTGTATTCATAAATTTTTGTGCACATACTCCTCGTATATAACTGTTGCGTTTGTTTCAATCTTTTCGTCCTATCGATCGTGAGATTATTATCGTACATTATTCGCGAGAAAATAAACGAGAACGGCGCAATGACATATTAATTATTTCACTGTACGTAAAATATGTACGTACAGCGCGCAATATCATAATCCGGGTGATAAAGCTTTCAGGAAAGAGCCAATAATCCTTATTCGACTCGAAAGAATCGAAAATCCTCGCATTATCGGCAAATAGGCCGCAGCTACAGACACACATACACACACAGTACATCGTACGTGTTCACAAGTACGAGATATTCAAACGATCTGCGCGTATAAACGCGCAAATCCGTGGACGTGAAAACGTGGCGCGTACGTGCTAACAGTGTGTGGTACAGAATAGTACATCTTCGAAAATATCGCCAGCGCGACATAGCCGTGTTTTCGATGCTGTTGAGAACAGGGAAGCGTGAACACCCCCGCAGAGTTTTGTCCCCATTCGCGGCTCGTCTCGACCGCTCGTCTCGTAGCAAGTGACGCGCTTTACCCCGGGGGTTACCGCGTTAATAAGAGAGAGCTTCGTTATAAGGAGCGCCTCTTCTTCTCTCCACTCCGCCGTTTTAATACGAAATCCACGCCATCCGGCACCCGCGTCTCTTTCCGCAGCTTAATAGGTCGAATCGTCGATAATCCTCTCCGGTAGAGAGAGAACGGAGTTTCAGCGAAAAACACGGTGTGCGCGCAAGCGAGTGTTCGAGCTGCGAGAGTTAGAGGGTTTGCGGAGAACGTGAGAGGGAGAGGGACAGAGAGAGAGAGAGAGAGAGAGAGAGAGAGAGAGAGAGAGAGAGAAAGCGGCGCGTATAGATTACGCGAAAATGTGGGAGCACCGAAACGAACGTGGGGGCGCGCTTAATACACACGGTGGATGTGTACGCTCTCGACGTCGGACGTGAGAGAGCTCGCGCGTGCGTGTGTTTGCGGTCGCATGCAGTTACCGGGCGGGGGAAGAGATGGAGAGGGTGGGTTCGTCGGCGGGAAACCCGCTGGAGGATGGAGCGAATAGGTGAGAGTGGTGAGCGAGTGAGTGAGTGAGTGAGTGAGGGAAATTGTCATTCGGCGGAATTGCAATTTCTCGCTGACGCGTGCTGTGCAACCTCTCGCGCGACGAGTAAAAGCGGACTAATGATGCACACTAGACTTAATGCCCCGTTCCTGTTCTCATTTTCCTCAAAGGTGCGAGCTGCCTGCGAGAGGTCAGTCTGGAACTAATTCCGGAGGTGGTGCAGCGCGGCCAGGAGGTGATTCTACGTTGCCATTATGATCTGGAGAATGCGCCGCTCTACTCCCTCAAGTGGTACCGCGGCAGGTACGAGTTCTACCGATTCTCACCCAACGAGGATCCGACCACGAAGATCTTCAACATCACCGGGATTTATGTCGACGTAAGTCGCTCTCGCTCGATGTCACTTAACAGGATTGCGCGCCGTCCCGCCGACTTTTTTCGCTTTCATTCAGATTGGATTCCTTTCTCGCTGTGTGATGTAATATATTTTCTATACAGTAATCGACAATGTGTTATCGTCTCCGTGCGCGCCGGACCTGATATTTTTCGACGCGGTTTCTCTCCCGCACTCTCCTGAAAAAAGGGCCAGCGCAAAGCGGGACAATCTAATTTTTTTTTCGCGCGCGCGCGCGCATTTCCGCGGCTTTTTTCCCGGGAAATATCAACTGCGAAATGTACGGCGTGTGTCGCCACCGCTACGTCACATTCCTGTGTTCCGCGACCGCGGCAAAAAATAATTCGTCAAATTCAAGTACCGCGTTTTGTTTTTGTTCAGACAGAAGTTGGCCGCGCGCGATGATAACGTAACGTGACGTAACGTAGACGATCGATAAAGACAGAGGCAAAAGTAAGAGCAAGTTCGCGTAGATGTCTGATCTCCGAGTCGTGCACTTTCGCGGATACGCGACGACGACGCGTCGTCTCACGTAATCGGCGCATCTTCACGTGTCCATTCGATTTATCTTACGCGAGAATACTAAGGAACATCCAGTAAATCGCGATTTGCCCCGTTTCCCACTAGTCTGTACCCACCGAGCAAATACGGACCTCATTTTCGTATAGTCGGAGCTGCTTTACGTTCGAGATGCACAGGTAAATATTGGATGGCGTTTAAAAAGATCAAGGAAAAATTTTATATTTCAGCGTACATACATATGGTAATACACTTAATCCTATTAATTTGTGCATCCTTCGATATCGATACCGCAAAAGCTTTACCCCACTTGAGCTTTATCCCACTTGAGGAAGCTCGAGAGATATTTTAGAATATAACACACATTACTTTACCCTCCCTGAGTGCAAGTGTATAGCGAAATTATTGAAATCAAATGGAAACGTACTGCAGAACACATTGTATACATGTGTCACATGTTACGTCCACATATTTTTATTATAATCAATTACACGCGTAAAAATGATTTGCTTTCAACGAATACGATGGACAGATGGACTCTTGACCAGTAGATTTTGCCATAACGATTCGCGTATAATGATGCGGCCTATAATACAAAAATTAATTTAATTTATACGCATAGTTTTGTGTAAATTTTAATAAAATCCTTTCTCTATAGAGCCCACTTATATCCACATACAGTTTTTAATCAGAGCTTTTATCAGGCAAAAAGTTACGCTATTGGATATCATCCATAGCAAGTAAAAATCATAATGTAAAACGTTTTTCAATGGCGAGCATAAATAGAATTCATTAACGCGCATATTTCAATAAAGCGACCGAATTCCAAATGGCGGCAGATATTTGCCATTTAATGAGCGTTAATAATATATAGAACGAACCATTTCTGCACAGATAATAATATATTGGCATATAATTATCGGGGGATGTGAAAATTGAAAGTGGATAAAAGCAGCAATTATATATAGGAAATGCGGTGAAATAAAATAACGCGATCCACGTGGCACGTCACCGCGTATAATCCGCTATTAACGTAAATATATGTGTCACGTAAATATATATTATAGGAGTGAAGATTTCTAGTAATTATATTTCTCTTGTCACATCGACAAGTCCTGCTTGGACAAAATACCATGCTCGCATAGTTCTTGACGTTTCACGAGAGAAGTGGCACGTTAATGTGCGACTGAATTACGTTATTACGTACTTCTGTGAATTGTGCGCGCGAGAAGCAAAATTTGCATTCGGGTAATTTGACAGTAAAATTCGTATTTCCAACAAATCTTAGTCAGTCGTAACGGCCTTTATTCTGAATCCTCTTTTATCGATAGAAACTAAATGTGCTCGTAAGCCAATCAGGAAGTATAAGTCATTTGGATGCGCTTCTACGGACAAAGGAAAGTTCAGATTAAGGGCGAAAATCTTCAGGTGTAGAAAAGTGCAATCGTGCTCTCCGATCGTGATCGGAGGCGACGTAGTCGGAATCAGTCGCGCCGTTTGTATTATTCATCAATAAATCACCCTCTTTCTCTCTTTTCTCCTCCCTCCCGGCTTTATCGGCTATGATATGACTATATATAATAATCCTATCCCTTTTAAACATCGAGCACTCGCGTCGTTAAATAAAACGAGAATAAAAGGGGGATACAGCCGAACGGCCACGGTGGTGCGCCAGCACCGCGGGGTATTTCGAAACATCCCTACATAAGCCGACGCTATGAAGCTACCGCTATTCTTTCGAGCGAGAGCCGCCAATCGACGAGCGCGAGCAACGAGATATGTGGCTTTGCCGTATCATCGTAACGCAAACCGCAACGGCCTCGCCGGTGCCTCGTTAACAGCACCCTTGACCGCTGTAATCGCCGTAAAACAGTTGGCGCTTTTATCATCGCTCCGGCATTTCCGTAGGCTGTTACGCGCGTTGGGCACGTCGGTGGTTTCGGGGGTGGCGTCGCGACCGCCAATCGAGGCCGCGTCGCGCACTGCACCGTGCCGCGCGCCTGCACGCGCGCTGCACCGAAAACAAACCCCTCGGATCCTGTTGTTTCGGCACAGCCGAATGAACGGCCTGACAAACCGTGACAACGCCCTGCGAGAGCGGCGGGCGTGCTTGCGTGTCCCGTTTACGTTTATCGTTTCGGAACACGGCCGGCGCGCGCGACCGTTCTCCAGTGACGAACGGGAAGTAATGCACCCCTCGACCGCGAGCACGGCGGCGCGGGGGTGTGCGAGAGCGGCATCGGTTTCGAAAAATACGTGCTCTCGCGCGCGCTCGACATCCGAACGTTTCCTCGGGGAATGAAAGGACGCGGGGGAGGTTCGGGAAAAATTTAGGGAAAAATTGTTTCGTTACTTCGCCGTTTATCGGGGCGATATTTGATTTACCGTGTCCATCCCCCGGGCGCCTAACCCGGCCCAGGCGGATCTACGTTTCGAAAATACATTTTGTCGGGTTTCGATGCGTACCTTGTGTTTTCAAGTCATTAATATCCAAACAATCCGCGCGCGTAATTGTCGGACGTCCACACGACGTCGCCGCCAATTGTATTTATTTAATAAACGTTTATTGGGAATGAGTCGTTAACGCACCCGCGCGGCGCAGCACGTGACCCAGAGGGGGTGCGGGCAGACACGAAGGGAAAAAATGCTTCCCGTCTCGTTGCTTTCCGCCGTATTTGAGCGTCCGTACGCCGTTACAGAATACGTAAAGTTATTACTATCGTGCGATAACGCGCTAACAAATAAAATATGAAAGCTTCTCTGTCACCGCGTCGTCGTCGTTATTATTGCTGTTATTGTTGTCATCGTTGTTGGGATTCCGCACGTAGGTAGAAACGCATATGCCGAAAGTGCGAAACATGGAATTAACCGATCCGACTCGGCGTTTGCGGAGTCCGAATCGCGAAACGTTTACACGAGCCAACAAAGCGTTGCTCAGACAGGTGTCGCAACAGAGAACATTATGCGCTATGTTAAAAGCGCGTTCATGATGAAATATAAAGCTCGATATCGCGCATCCCGGCGCGTTTAACATATTTCATCGTGTATATATGTGTGTGTGTGTATGTGTGCGCGTATGAGCACGCGCGCTCGTGTGTGCCCGCACGAATTGAGCTTCCGTCGCAAATCGCGTTTCGTATTTTCGCAATTACGCGCGCGTTTAAAAGGATAGAAACGGACGGTGATTGTCCGGAATGATTGTGACGTTAAAGACAACGAGTTTGGGTAAGTCAGCGAACAAAAAGAAGAGAGAGTAGAGAGAGGAGACAATAAAAAAAAGGACCGCGCCGACCTATTATTCCACAATGGCGTGCCCGAAGTCGTGACGCCACTCGCTCTCAATATCTACTCGCAATTCTCAAGCCATCCAAGTACTCGGATGCCCGCCGGAGAAGTATAGATATCGCCCTTCCAGCGTATCGACATTGTCACTAGTCTGGCAGAAATTCAGACGAGTATCGGACAAGCAACGATCTAGAAAAAGAACGGAAATCTGTTCGGACGCCTTATACCGCACGATCGGATCGTTCGACACGATAGAGACCGCGTATAACGACTTTGTGTCGCAGATATCGCTGAAAACTGACAATGACAGCGGCAATATGAAAACCGCGAAATCTATATAATTAATAGACATAGCTCGGCGGAATTAAATAATTTCATTACATTAATCAACTTAACTCGCAACTGCACAATAGCCGGCAATGACACGTTCTGTAAATTCGCGAAATCTGTAATAAACGACTGGCAGCCTGCGGAAATTAACTAATTTGATTGAATTAATTCGCAACTTAACTCGCAACTACACAATAATCGGCACATTCCAAGGATCCCAGAACCAAACGTCATACTTTGATATCACAGCCATGAAAAAATATGCCAGCAGTTTTTTTTATTAAAGAGCGATTATTCGCCGATATAGATTCAAGCTCGCTCGATATCACGCACGTTCTTATCCGATAGCTCCGGTCTGATGCATCGTCAATTTTTTTATACACGCTACGCGCAGTCTTGTCCGACAGAATTGATCTCTCTCTCTCTCTCTCTCTTTCCGCGCGCGCGCGCGCACACACACACACACATACACACACACACACACACCACGCCGTTACCACCCCGGATATTGGTAACCTGCAAATGATCGATTCATACGCCAGGAACATTCGGTATCTCGCAGAAGACGGGGTATCTGTGTCATCGCCATTCGCGGCAGTGCGACAAGACGCTCTACGCGCCGGAGATTATTCCCTAGATAGCGCCGACTGAGAGTGCTACGGTTTCATATTTATTCCTCCCGTGGCGTGCCACGGCTTTTGTCCCTGCTTCTGTAAAGTCGTCGGCAGCTCCGTTGCCGCCCGCCCACGCCTGCACCCTCGCTCAAGAGCGTCCACATAAATCAACGAGGAAAGAGCTCGCTTGCCTTTCACGCTCCTTTCTCCCGTCAAAGAACTCACAGCTCACCCTTCCTTTTTCTCGCCCCAGCCCCTCATCGGCGCGTCCCCGCTCGCTTGTGTGCTTTTTCCTCTTTCATTATTTAAGCCACGCTAATTATGCATGCTTCGTTTTGCCCGTTCCGATTAAACCTTCCTCTGCTCGGCCTTTCTCCCTCTCTCTCTCGCCCAAGCCGTCACGGGTACGCGAGCACGCTCGCGAAGCTAGTTCCGTCTCTGCTTCCGTTACCGACTTGGCTTCTCAGGCCACTTTAATCGAGTGCCGGATAATTCCTGTTATGATAAGGTGACTGTTCTCTCGAGTGGACCAATCACCCGCTGAAAGCTGGGGATATTTGTGGAATGCTCGGCGAGACGCGAAGAACATTGCATCCCAAGGGAATCCTCTTTGATTTCGCGCCTACGGAAACTTTATTGGACAATAAAGTAAAGAAACTTTATTGGACTCGAAGTTTATCTTCATGGCGATACTACGCGAAGAAAAGACACGGCTACGTATACTTCGTCTGAAGTAATGTAATCTCGAAAGATTAATCTTTCTTTACACAGCGACAGAGGAACAAGTACATCTTAGATTTTAGATTTACCGCGCGGTTACACGCTGCCTCCCACGCGATATCGCGAAACTCCGGTTGCATGACGTCTTTCGACAAATTAGATCGCACGTTAAATCACGTTAGTCGTATGTAAATGACGTTACGACTTCGCCCTCGTGTAATAACGTAGGCCGTCTCGCGGTTGATACACGCTCATCCTACCCTCGCCTCCGTACACCTTAACGCGGACGTGTGTTTCAGCTCGCCAACTCGAACAAGAGCCAGGTTACACTCAAAGACGTCGACTTCCCTCTCTCGGGTACATTCAGCTGCGAAGTTACGGCGGACGCCCCAACTTTCTCCACGGGCTCCGGCCTAAGAAATCTCACCGTAGTGGGTAAGTACATTTTCCACCGTATTACGCAGTATCACACGGTATTCCCCGGATCGAAATTTAGATTCTACGTAAAGCCCGTAAATATCGTCAACTTGTAAGCCAGTGAAGAGTCTCGAGATATTTGTAGAGACTATCGTGCTCCTTTGATGCTGCAAATCGCAATTTATCACCGTTTTCTTCGCGTGGGAACTTTAAAAAGGACTTGCTGAGAGAGCGTTTACCCAAGTCGAAATTTTGATTCTACATTGACCATGTATAAATTCCATCAAGCTTGAAGAATCAATAAAGCGTCTCGACTTATACAAGCCACTACTTTGATGCTACAAATAGCTCTTTATTACCGTTTTCTCTGTATCAAAGAAGCTCGAAGAAGTCTCGTTCAAAAATTATTTGATATTCGGACTTCTTACTTCTAATTATTTCAACCATTTTCTAATTATTTAATATTCGATTATGTATCTCGAGATAATTTAATATATGGAATTTCACTCTCTCGGAATAGCCGTGATTCGGTAATAAAAATTCGAGGTGCTATATTCATCTTGATGTTTTCGAACGAAATGACAAAGTTTAACCCTTTCAGGACGGAGGATTGCTCGGGGAGATAATTATAGAGAAGTACGTATTTTATAGGTTTTTGGGGCCGTTAAATCCGAATCTGAATTTAAATTTTTAAAATTCTGTGATCCCCCCCAAGATAGCGGACACAATATGGCGGAGAAAATGATAAATAATATAAATATCAATAATATAAATATAATAATATAAATAATATAAATAATATAAATATCAATAATATAAATATCAATAATATAAATATCAATTTCCGTGAAATTTAAACTATGAAACTTTTTGAGGATACTTTTTTGAGAACTGAAATCAAATATTTGAAATTCAAAATGCCGACCAAGAAAAAAATTTTTAGATCTGAACTGACCTGATCACATCTGCTCATTTGTGCTTACCTTTGCGAAAATAGTTCATATATGATTCACATTTTTTACTTTAAATTTGGAAAGAGCATCCCAAAAAACTCCTACATATTTTTATATACAATTTTATATACAATTTTTGTGAATATCGGATCGATAGTTTCTGAAATACATGCATGAAAGCCGTAGAGCATCAAAAGATGTCTCCCGTCCTGAAAAGGTTAAAGATATACGACGCGACCAAAGCCGTCTCTCTGCTCAGCGAAGAAAATATAACAAACATCAACCGATGCATTGAATGCACAAAACCAACATTATTCAGCTCTCGGAATTACCCAAAGTCGCGTTAATTCATGCATGGCTGAATTAATCGAGCGCCTCGAAAGTATGAGACTTTTCATCTTATCAAAATTGGTTGTACTCAATCCTCGTGGTAAAGCACACACGAGAGCCAGGACCCGATTGTAGTGAGCTCGAATAAATTTTCTCTGCAGAATATCAGAATGACAAATACGGTTTCCGCGGTGAGCAATTAAAAGTTTGGCCCATGCCGTTACAATTGCCGCCTGGATCACCATTCCTGGTAATATTTTGAAAGAATTTCTGATCCGCGCTCCGAAACTCGCCGCAGCAAAATCGTGGTTTTCTCTTTTTTTCGGTTTTTTTATCTTTTTAATTTCACTTGAAATTACATAACAGTGTTTCGGTTTGAAGCTTCGTATTTTTGCTCTTAGCCGAATGATAATTTTATTTGTTGACGGATAATGTGTAATAATTAAAGCCGACACAAATGTTTTCGCGTATTTTCTTTTGAACGACGCGCTCTACTTTTTAAAGAGCGGGTTGACCTAGAGGTGCTTCGTTTATTCAATTTATGTTAAAGAGCGAGTCAACCCGGTTTTCACGCGCATTTGTTTCATTCGCAGAAACAGATAAAGTAGGTTAAATCGTAATTAATGACGTTATTTTGAATTTACAAATTGCAATAAGCGACTGTCGCCATTATTTATCATCGTCTCTGACAATCCAAGCTGAAACACGCGGCGATTTTTTAAGAACGTGCCTTCATTACGAAACAGGTTTTATCGATCGAATTAGCAATACATCCATCACATTAACGAGTGGAATGACTTTTGCAAAATTTATGCCCGCAATCGTTAGCGTGTCACCTGTTATTATTATTGACAGATCTTTTAAAAACGAAAAGCAAAACGCGCCAATTACTGAAAACTGAGAAAGAGAAATTAACTTAATACCATGTTCATAGAGTTACGCGTACGTGCCATACACGTAAACACAAGTTATGTCAAACGATGGAATTTCGCAGCATTCGGAAGCATCAGTTGCAAAAGTCATAAACGCATCAGCCCGCCTTGACATTATTTGCACTAATTCTCTCGTCGCCGCGATGCGCATTTGCTCGATGCAACGTCGTAAGTCGAAGCACACCCAGAGAGAGAGCTATGCATATTCCCGCGGTAAAGCACACAGCTGGTGCTGAAAGTTCCCTTGGCATCGTTATTAACTCTGTCGCGTTTGATCCGCGCATTGAATCCGATCCGTGTCCGTCGACCCTCGTCGTTGAATTGATATCAGCTTGTCGCGCGTGTTCTCTCGATACGCTATACGTATGGCTCGGTATCTCATTTTGGTTTCGCGTGTGTACGTGTGCCGTGCGGGAATTTATGACTTCCCGTACAATTTCCGACTAGTCAGGATTTTCCTAACGCTTTTTTCTAACGCGCACTCTCTACCCTACTCCTCTACCACGGCCGGGATGATCAAAGAGTACCGTGTCACTGTTACCTGCCATTTAAGCATTCACCAAGAATATCGCCGGGCGTAAATTTATTTACATGAAATTACACGTGCTTCTCGTGTGTTTCAAGCGTTCAATTTAACGACAACGAAGCGACCTGTACTTGGCGAAATTCCAGCCACGAGGTTCACACATACACACGCGCGCGCGCGCATGTTGCACTGAATTAGAAGTTGAATCGTTCGTTAACTCAATTAGTTTATCATCATCTCGGCGTCTCTCGTCACTGAATATAATTTATCGCGCGGAATTTTTAAGTCAAACTTGCGTAATTAAAAATACGTCGCATTTTTCATCTGGCTGATAACATCCTGCGATAATTGCGTCGCGAACCAACTAGATAGAGTGGATCGAATCGTACGATCAAGACATAATCAGTTCCCTGTGAATACTAATTAAATTATCTCTTGCCTTGAAATTTTTAAGTATCACGTATTTCCGCAGGCGATAAATCCCGAAAAAGCGACTCGCTCGCTTTTAGAGATTATCCATCTTTTATTTTCTGTTCGCGGCTATGAATCTTTTCCTTCGTTATCTTTGCGTTATATTTTTAAACTTTTACACTGTCATTGTGCTCGAGAGAGAGAGAGAGAGAGAGAGAGAGAGAGAGAGAGAGAGAGAGAGAGAGAGAGAGAGAGAGAGGAGAGAGAGAGA